CCCCCCCCTTCAGCAACCTATTTGCTTGTATACCTCAATATTCTTCACTCTTTTTCCAATATTTCTTCATAATTTTGATAATGCATCTGCATATCAGTTTAAGCCAAAATATATACTTTTTTAACTCTTATACACAGTTGTTTCGATTTGTTTAATTTTATTATTTGAAAATGTTTGATTATTAAAAAAAATGTCTATTCAATCTTCTGGCATCATCAAGTGTACTACTCGTGCATATTTGCGTATTTGCGTGATATGCAGCTTAGTATAGATTGAAGTTTTTATTATAAGCAATGAATATCAAAAGATTTGAAATTAAAGCGTAACAACTAAATGCTAAGATTCATTGTGGGCTTGCACCCTAGACTCCATCTTTTGATATTCATAATTTCGTTTGCTCAGTTGGAGATACATTAGATTGTCAGCTACCTCAATACGTACGCTTTTTACGCAAATATTTACAGTGCAGTAGAACTTGTCTTTGATTTTAACTTGCATCAAAGCGTAAAATCTCATAGAAAACCTCCCCCTGCGAATATGTCAGTTGCGCCTTGACGCATGCCTGCTGCGTACTGACGCAACGGACCAGAAAATTTCTGTCAAAACTTTCATTTCTCTTATCTTAGAGTTGTCTTTACGTATTAAGATGAACAAAGTATTTACTTAAAGAGAACACAGGAGGGAATTAGACCTTCAATTAATTTGAACAAATTAGTTAAGACAGGGATCAAGCGTCCCAGTGCGTCATTGATAAAACAAGAAAGATCAATTGTCAGATAGACAGATTGAAAAAGAAACAAGAAAAATAAAAGTATCACAAATGTTCCATAGCTCCAAAAAAATCGTTGCTAGTTTTTAGAATACAAGCTTTCAGTGAGATTTTAAACCCTTTTTTACACTAAGGAACTGAGTCTTTGCCACTCACTCTAATTTTCAAATCCCTATATCATAGGAAAGCTATGTTGTAGACCTTAGATATTTTAAACTATGCATTCTCTTAGATCCAATAATCTAAGGTCTACACTATCAGGTTGCAAAGATATGTGGATGATAAATTATTTTCTTAGTTTATTTTTATTTCTGACTGCGACAGTCCAAAAACTTTCCAACGGGCCATGTGAGGTTCAACAAAAACTTTTTATAAAAACTTTTTCGTAAATTAATCCAAAGCAAGTTGCTAAAACACATTACTACTGTAAAAACTTAAAAGTATCCCTGCGACGGCTAAAAGAAGAAACATGTGATATATTAAACGTGTATTTGAAACAAAAGTATTTTGTTAATCAACCTAATTTAAGATGTTTAAAAGATATGATTAAATTAGATAGAAGATTGTAGAGAGACTACCAGATGGTAAAACATTTAATACTTTTTAAAATTAAATTTCACCTCTGAGTGTTGTATTTCATTTCCCTTGGCATATGCCACATACAACACTATACTGCATGAGCCACTTGACACAAGTTTTATAAATATTCTCAAAATTAAAATTTGAAAACTATTTCAATTCTTCTCTTTATATCAAAGGATGATGTGATTATACAATTTGGACTAAAAAAAATGATGAACAAAAGGAAATGAAGTCGTTATTTGAAGATACACTGCATTTATATATATATGATGTTCGATACATAACAAATTAAAATTTTTCTGAGTTAAAATTATGGAATTATCCACGTTTTTATCTAAAATTATGGAATTATCCCTGTTTTTATATAAAATTATGGAATTATCCATGTTTTTATCTAAAATTATGGAATTATCCCTGTTTTTATCTAAAATTATGGAATTATCCATGTTTTTATCTAAAATTATGGAATTATCCCTGCTAATTTGGTTATTATCAATTGAAGGTTCTCTGTTAATGAACTTGCGGATTAATGTCGTTAAAAAGAAAGAATGATTTTGTCAGAATTTAACACTTTTATTATTTTTATGGTTTGAAGGGTAACGTTGCAAATGGGCATGCAAGTTTAATATTTGAGGGTCACTTGAAATTCCGTCTACAGTCCCTTTAAAAGGTTATAAACTTTAAAGTTGTCAAAATCTCCTTGTGTTAACATATCCTGGGGGCTAAACCATACCCATGATTTAAACAAGATCAAAGCAGGAGTCCAATTCGTGACCCCAAATCATTTGATTGTATGAATCATAAAGAATATCGTAAAGCCAAGATTTTCATGATTTCCAACTTAATCCAGCTGGTTTCATGATTTCCAACTAATCCAGCTGGTTTCATGATTTCCAACTAATCCAGCTGGTTTCATGATTTCCAACTAATTCAGCTGGTTTCATGATTTCCCGGATTACGATGATTTTGTTGACGTTAATTTGGATTTTCTCAATTTCGGAAAAGGTTTCAAAACAATTCGATTTCAAAAAACTTCAAAAAACGCAATCTGGAAAATATTTTTATCCTTTATTTTTGCAAAAGACGGAACGTTTGGAACAACAAAAGCTAAAGAATTAGTTGATTTTAAATATTTACGATCAAAAATAATTTTAATTCTAAAGCTTCGATTAAGAGACAAGATTGACGGAGCTTGGGAATAATAATCTCATATCCCACTCTGTCCAAACTAAGAAGTTTTCAAGGGTTGTTTATAAGTTATGAAGTAAACTAAAGGTCCTGAATCCTGATTGAAAGTCCGGTGAGTCTTAACTTTAGAACCTGTATTTTCCCCCCTTAAATATAGAGTTTCCGTTTTTTTTATTTTTTACTTTTTTATTTGCTTAAACATTAAAATATAAAAATTGTCTTGCGCTAATTTTTGGCGGATTTTGAATTTGAGAGTCGGAAGATGTGACGAAAAATATTCCAATACTTCGCTGTAGTTAGTTTACTGTGATGACACCGAGTTTTTGGAAAATTATTTTACGGACACTTTTTCCATTTTAGGTCTTCCACGTAAAAACGTTTCTAAAGAATAAATTTTTAAAAAGAAGGGTGAAGTTCCATAACTGATTGATTGATTGAAAACTTGGGAAAGAAGAAGTAAAGAGTTAGCCAGGAGTATACTGTATAATTGGATATGTGGATGAATTACAAGTATACTTTTGACGGATGGATTGATGGATTGAAGGGTTAAGAGCTAAATAGGCGGGGCTAGAAGATGGATTGGTGTACCACAAATAATACTGTAAATAAATAGATTGTTATATAGAAATAAACAGTAAAAGTTCAACGCTATAAAATGTGAAGAAAAATGTGCTTAAAGTTGTAAAGCAAGGACCCTTTAGTATATATACGGTGTCGTCATTTTAACTGTACAGACGTGAGCTGTATGTTATGAAACCGAGCATGAAAATCATTAAAAATTTAATGCTTAAGAAGTATTACGACTTTTTTAACGTACCTCTGTTGCTAAAATGTGTGTAAAACACAAAAAGTGGATTTTGATAGTTCAAGCAAACGAAGAAAGTTGAAAACACTGAAGAAACATTATTCCCGAAACGATCTGGCTTCTGGGGTTGTACAATCCACACACTTTCATGAATAAGGAGGCAGTCAACCCCGAATAAAAGGGATTAAAGTGTTTAATCGGATTAATTTAAAGTGATGATGAAGCATGGTTGTATATTGAAACCCCCCTAACGAGACACCACACCGGCTTAGAACATGCCAGATGCCTTAAACCAAAGTATTAGTCTCTGTAAGGCATGATTCAATACACATATGGTTAAAAAACTAAGCTTACTTCGTAAATTTCAAAATGTAATCAATTATGCTATCTTATTATTCTTTAACGCTATGAAATTTTGATCCGGGATTTTTTATATTTTTTATCTGATATTTTGTGTCCCGGTACGTTTTATGTTTGTGTAACAAATATTGTTGAAACTGCGAAGTTTACGTAAATGAAGAAGCGCCATATGACACTTATACTAACTCAGGTTGGATTCACCAACATATTTATCATGGTTCATTCAACAACAATTCAAACCAACAACACCAACAACAAATAAGCAACAACAGCAGAAATAAAAGATAAGAATTAAGACGATTGAGGAAATATTTCATTTAAAAAAAGAACATAAAAATAGAAATAAATAGATTTAGTAACATCTTCCCTCAGAATCCATCTTAAAAAGTTGTTGACTTCAGCACTGTTTGTTGGTAAACATAAACCAGTTTTTGTAAAATCTAGACATGGTTTAAGTTCTACATCACTGGTAGTGTGTATAGGTGTTATCAGGCTGTTGGTCAGAAACCGACTGATGAGAATTTAAGAAAATGTCCGTCAGCTGCTGTTCTATTCTCCGTTCAGCTCTCCTCTCCTCCTGTCCAACCACACACACAGTGGGAGGGAGGAAGGAAGGGGGGAGGGGGAGTAATTGGGGGGGGGCGATGTGATAAAGCCGCATTTTTTGGATAAAGATAAGGAGTTCCTGGTTTTTGCTTAATTAAAGGAATGTAAAAAACAGTTTGGTCTAAAAATTTTCTTTTTTAAACAAGCATAGTTTTCAAGTTGACTATTCAGCACACAATAACAAAATGCTTGTTTCTAATTTTTCAGACTTATATTTCTCTTTCTATAACTTGTGCTGCAGTCGAGTTAAACAATTTTCTCCTTTTTCATTTGGTTAGTTTTCCCTTCTTCAACTCAATTTGATAACTTTTTACTTTTCCTCTCTCTTTTCTTTCATCTTTCTCTTCTTCTTTTAAAATAATATTTTTCTCTTCTCCTCATTTCTTCTCCTTCCTCCTTTTTCTTGTTTTCTTCCTTCTTCTCAGTTTTATACTATTTTATAATGCTTCCTCCCTACTTTATACTTTATACGTATATATCTTCATCTCTGTCTTTGCTTTTTCTTTACTTTCTTAAATACTATTCTTACATCACTGAACTTTTCAACCTCATTTTCCTGTCTTACTTCTCATTTTCTTGATCCTTCCTCTCATTTTCTTGATCTTTCCTCTCAATTTCCAGCTTTCATCTCTTAATTCTCATTTTCTTGATCCTTCCTCTCAATTTCTTGATCCTTCCTCTCAATTTCCAGCTTTCATCTCGTACTTCTCATTTTCTTGATCCTTCCTCTCATTTTCCAGCATTCATCTCTTACTTCTCATTTTCTTTTTCTTCTTCTTCATAATATCCTACTTCTTCACCCATTCTCTTGTTTTTCTCATTATTTTCCTGTTTCTTCTCCTTAATCTCCGGTTCCTTCTCCTCAACCACCTTTTACTCCTCCTAATTCTCATGCTCATTTTAATGCTCCTTTTCCTCAATCCTTTCTTTCTTCTCCTCATTATCATGTTCTCTATTCATATTCTCGTGTTCCTTCTCCTCATTTTCATGTTCCTTATTCTCATTCTCGTGATCTTTCTCCTCATTTTCATGTACCTTATTCCCATTCTCATGTTCCTTCTCCTCATTTTCATGTTCCTTATTCTCATTCTCCTTTTCTTCTCATCAATCTCATGTTCCTTATTCTAATTCTCCTGTTCATTCTGCACAATCGTATGTTCCTTATTATCATTCTCCTCTTCCTTCTCCTCATTTTCATCTTCATTATTCTCATTCTCAATTATTCCTTCTCCTCATTCTCACGTTCCTTCTCCTCATTTTCATGTTTCTTATTCTCATTCTCGTGTTTTTTCTCCTCCTTCTTCAGTTCCTGCTCCTCCTACTCATGTTCCTTCTCTTCCTTCTCCTGTTCCTTCTTTTCCTTCTCCTCTTCCTTCTCCCGTTCCTACTCTTCCTTCTCCCGTTCCTACTCTTCCTTCTCCTGTTCCTTCTTTTCCTTCTCCCGTTCCTTCACCTCATTCATCTGCACGTTATCCATATTTTTAACATTATTCTTATTTCCCTTCTTTTTTTGTAGTTTTGCCTCGTATTTTTCCCCATCAATCATTTTATTTCCCCCTTCCACCTCTTCTATTCTTTCTCCTCATGCTCCTTTCAGTTTATCATATTCTCCTCCCTCCTGCTACTATGCTTCAGGTTTGTAAACCTCCGATGATTGCTAGATCCTAGAGTCCTGACCCAATTTAGTCTAATTTACTAATATCTTCCTACTGCTTAGTAAAGATAGGGTTAAAAGCTTTCAGCAATATAAAATCTTTAAACACTACAGATATATGTTACAGATAACCGATTATCGGATTCTGTTCTTAACTTTTTATAGAAAATCTTTATGACTTACTCCTAACATCCTCAAACATTTAACCCCCTCCCCACACTCTCCCTCCCCTTTAAAAAAACTATTTCCTTGTCAACTTTTTATCTTTAAATGCATTCTTTGCACTTTAAATGTAGAGGTTTACTGCACAGGAATTGCTATCAGAAATGTTTGGTTAAAGATAATATTTATCTAATCAGTTTTTAATTGAAAACTGAAATAGCAGACTTTTTTCTTCAATAATCCCGGATTAAATATTTTCGAAATGTTTAATTAGGGTTTGTCCTATAAACGTCATAAATTTGTATTTTCGAACCAAATTGACCAAAAAAATTTAGGTCCTCCATTATTCTTTTTACTCGAAAAAATCCATCAATGAAAACTCTAGAGAATTCTGCTAAATCTTGAATTTCAATGTTACGAAATAATGTACGAAGGTAAACGTTAGACAAATTATGACAAAAAGACAGAACTATAGTGCGAGCAAGGGGCCTAGGGCTGGGCACGTTCCGACTTTTTGAAATCGTTCCCTTCTAGAACAAGGGCCCTTAACTAGATCGTTCCGTCCTCTTTCTTTCTTTTACAAATCTTTCCATCCCGTTCCGTTCCTTTCTTTTTGTTATTAGTCGAGAACTGTACCTTTCCAAGTGTTAATTATAAATTTTTCATGTAATTTTCTTAAGTAGACTCATCAGACACTCACACTTGATACTCTGGTGTTAGCTTCAAGGGGTGAAAAATAGAGATGGAAACGTTTCTTAAAGATATTTATAATTTCTTAGGATTTATCAAACAAATAATGATATCAAATCTTTATTTACACTGAAGGCAGTTTTGATTAAAGCTTTTTAATCAAACTTTTTTTAGCTAAGGGCAAAAGTGAGATTTTAATTTTCTTTTTTATATGATGTATACTTAAATGGAATGCATGAATAGTTTCAAGTGAGCCTCCGATGTACCTTTGAAATCTTCATTTCTCCATCGTTTCTGAAGCAATTGAAATATATGAGTTACTTTTGAGAGAAAATCACAAATGAAAATAATCAGTCTTCAAAATGGGAAACATGGCTATTTAATGCAATACTTGATCAGACAAAGCTTTGAAGGATATTGTTGTGATTGTGAATGAGAATTGAAATTATGTCTGAAGTCGCGTTAAACCTCTTAATTGATTCTTTATTAATTAAACTGCTTTGTAGATTTGTGAACTTTGAAGTAGTATCCCTGCGACGGCTA